ACATCTTCACTTTGGTGGCCAATAGCCTTATTAAAATCTCCCCCACAAGGTGGTCCACTTAGCTTTTCCCATCTCTGATGATGGCGACTCCAGCCTTCTGGCTGCTCATGCCAAAATCCTTGGAGTTATTCTCAACAACTTAATGTTGTGACATTCCCATATCCAACTTGTCTGGAAATTCTCTTGGCTCTACCTTTAAAAAAAATGCAGAATCTGAGTTACTGCTATGGGTATGAGCCATCAGCTCTTGCCTGCGTCTACTTGTGGTCATTCACATTCTCTATACAGCACCCAAAGCGCTCCTTTTCAAATAAAAGTAAAATCACTGTACGGGTACTTCTCCATTCAAAACTGGCTGCTCAATGCCAAAATCCTTGGAGTTATTCTAAAAACTTAATGTTGTGACATTCCCATATCCAACTTGTCTGGAAATTCTCTTGGCTCTACCTTTAAAAAAAATGCAGAATCTGAGTTACTGCTATGGGTATGAGCCATCAGCTCTTGCCTGCGTCTACTTGTGGTCATTCACATTCTCTATACAGCACCCAAAGCGCTCCTTTTCAAATAAAAGTAAAATCACTGTACGGGTACTTCTCCATTCAAAACTTCTATGGTTTGAATTTCACTCGGGGCCAACAAAGCCTTTCATGATTTATTTCTTCCACCTCCCTTTACCTTTCTGTTCTTTTCTTCTACTCTCCCTTCACTCCATTTGGCCCTCTGATTTTGTTTGGCCAAGGTGGTGGTTTATTTGTCTTTGTCTATGTAATACTGAAAAGGCAGGTGTTATGGTTCCTTGCAATACAAGCCCCCCATTGTCTTACTCCTTGCCTAACATTCACATACCTGCAGGCTCCTGGCTGGCATTAGCGACCCCCCACCCCCACTCTCACTGTAGGAGGCAAGTATGGAGTCACTGAAGGTTGTAAGGAGGTCAGATTTGCATTTAGATAGATTATTTTGCTTTCAGCATGGAGGATGGATTTACGGGGAACTCCACTGAGAGAAAAGACTATAAGAGGAACAACTTAGGGAGTTTTTACAACAGTCCAAGTGGGTACCTGTGCTAAGGCTGTGATTGTTAGTGGGGGTGGAGAGAATCTTACAGATTCCCACAATACCTTAAGGTAGAATTGTTATGGATGGGTGTTGGGGTCCAACCCCAGCAGGTCCAGGGGTCCCCAAAGGTGTGGACGGAGTCGGCGAAGAAGGAATGACACGGAGACAGCCTTCAGTTGATCAGCAGCCTAG